TATCCTGTTCCTGTGGGTCATAAGAGACCATGGCGCCTCCGGCTCCAAGGTGCTGTCAGTTCGCTGGTGAAGCTCTTTGTCCAGTCGCTGGATCCCTCCCCACACACAGCCGAGAGGTGTCGGTGGCTCAGAAACCCCCTCAGACACCCGGTGGGGGCCTCGCAAGCCTCGCAGTCCTCTCCGCACGCAGCAACCGCTGCTCCTGCCAGCGTTGGCTCTCATGGTTTGTAAAGAGTTGCTTATGTTTGTGAAGAAATACTATCTTTTTAGAAATGTCATGGTCCTGAAACAGGTACGTTTTTCTTTTAAAGGGATGATTAGTGAAAGACCACTATCACTTCAGGAAAGAACTGACGGGGTTTCTCTTGCTACTCCTTTTTTTACATATTAAAATAAATGGTGAAGTTCTTTCCTTTCCCAAACAAAATTAATAGCCAAGGCCAATGCAGTCCTACTGAAAATACTAAACAGACACTTTGCTACAACTGAAAAGGCAACTTGGGCACAAATCCATGCGATAGAGGCACTAACCATACTATTTAGGTTTTTAGTAAGTTGCAGCTAAAGAAATGTAACAGATGTAAACTAAGACACCTAGACTTTCAAAGCACCTCATTATTTAAGACACAGTTCAGAACAATGCTGCTCTCCTGAGTCCATCAGCAGTCCTCCTGTTCTCCCTCCTGCAAAAGCATTCCCTAGCAAGAATGCCCTTGACCTACCTATAAAATTGTTTTCTTAGAGAACAATTAAACATCAACTTCGATATTTTATTCATTTATCTACATTAGTCCAATAGTATATCCTTTTGTTCTAACAATATCTTTTAAGTACATAAATATACAGAGAGGCATACCATTCCATTGTCCTAACTTCACACCAAGGAAAAAAAAAAAAAAATGTTTTTTCTTTGGATGGTTTAAACTAAGAGTTATCTGTCATTCTTTATTGTACACATGATTTATTTCCAAAGAAACTGGTTAAGACAGGTTTCCAAAAATACGAAGAACCACCTCAGATTGACTGTCATAGTTCTTTTAGCTTTCAGTAGCTGTAGTGATACTTTTTCAATTAAACTAAGACCAACAGAATATCTTTTTAAAAATTACCTAGTATATTTGAACCTAACAACGTAAAAAACCCAAAAAACAAAAAAAAAAAAAAACCCACCACCAGGGTAACATCCATTCTCCAGATGCTGAACTCTTATACCCTAGTGAAAGATCTGAATACAAGAGGAAATGCCACAATTATGGAAAGAAATAGGGTTTGAGGTAGCGGGGGGGTTTCCAGCAAAGAACTTCGCAGAGGATGCTAGAGATGAATTAAAGTATGACTGAAATGATCTCTCATAACACATCTAAACAGACTGTCTTCATGAAGTCTGTAATGTGGAAAAAAAAAAGTAAAAGGGGAACAGAACATACAAAGTATAAGAGTAGGAATAAGCATATTAATTTATTTCCTTTAGATTTTAAAGCAGAAATGCTAGGAGAAATTATAATAATGAAAACAATTACTTGTTACTGGTTTGTTTGCTTTTGAGGTTCTTGGGTTGGGTTTTTTACACCAAAGAGAAGCATCAAGTTCAAAAGATAACCACTGCGTTCAGCCACCAAATAACAAAATAATGTCTTATTCCTTGTAGTTGGTTCGAAAAAAGAATAGTTCATCAAGAAGATGAAGAAAAAGTAACTGATTTATATGGATGGAGGAGAGAAATTTGAAAAGGTTAAGCTACATGGAAGCACATACAATGTCCTTATAAAAATTAAATAGAAAAGCAATCAGAACCAGTGTCACTGTTTGCAAGAAAAACTGGAAATTATAAAAGGAGACAAGAAACATGTCTCCTATTGCTCCTCTCCATCCAAAAAGTTACAAGTAACTCCTATATAAATGCTCCCACTTTTCTGATCTACTTTTCTGGATACATTGTATCCACAATTGATGTGAAGATGATGACATTAAAGGAAGCTAAATACAAGACAACTCTTGATCTTTATCTTTCAGGTGTATTGCAGTATTTTTTATCTTTTATTTTTCAACAAGCATGTACTTTACAGATCCTTTTAAGAAAAAAAAAGCAAGAAAATTCAAAGTGAAAATTAAAGCTGCTCTGCATGAACTATGGAAGGGCACCAAATCTTACCAAAACTTTCAGTCTAAGCTTTGGCTTATAGAGAAATACCTTAATCAAAAAGTTACTATGTAATCTTGAATCAGTATTGTGTAGGAGAGTATAAATTTTTTTATAAGTCAGGTTTT